CGTTCTAACTGTGATAAGTTGTTTTCGAGTTCAAACAAAAGTGCTATTAATCAAGAATGAATTTTTAGGTAAGTAATTTTAAAGGGTATTATAAATTTGTCTTGTTAAAATTATTGTAGTGTAACGAACTGTTTTCTACTGTTTGATCGCTACGTAAACGCCGCGACTAGCTCAGAGATATTGTGTGTTCGTCCCACCAATTTTGTATTGCGTGACTGCCCGTGACCCAAGAAAATGCAGAGATATCCGATTGGGACAAATCGGAAAACTTTATTTAGTTTTTCTTTTCGCTGGAATTGGTTTCTTCGTCAGCTGGCTGTAGCGGCTTGCCTGGTCGGCGACGTGCCTTCCTCGGCTCAAGATTCTCTTCGTACGATTCTCTGCGGCGCTCCTCGACGGCGTCGCTGCTCTCGTATCTCTTCGTGCTGCTTGTGGACTCCTGCGGCGTCGTTCTCCAACGGCGGCTCTCCAGTTCCACCCGGCTTGTAGGACTCAAAAGTCTGCACAACCTTCCTTTCGGGTCCGACCAGAATGATCCTGGGACCACCTGTGTCGTCGTATTCCCTGAGGTCGGTCTGGCTCTAGCCTGAGAAACAAATGTCCCGACAGGTCAAATCCTAGGATTCAGCCTTATCGTCAGTCCACCGTAACCCCGACGCCTGGCACAAACTCTTGATCCGCGCTTACCCTGCCGGTAGCTCGTCCTTCTCTAGCTCGTCCTTCTCTCGACTCTGCTCCTGTCCAGCACTCGTCTCCACTTCAATCTCTGCGTCCTGCAGATCTCACCGTTGCAGTCTCAGCCTTGGCCTAGCGTCTTGACTCTGGTATCTTGATCTGGGTGTTGAGCACTCGGTTACTCGGTACTCTCACGGCCACGCACTCGATTAAATTCTCGCACTTGTCTCTTGATCTTGATCTCTGGTTCGTTGGTTGCACTTGTACTTTCGCTCGCGTATCTTGGTTGTCTCTCTGTACTCCGGCTGCCAGCGTCGCGTCTTCCGACCGACACGTCTCGTGCCTCCTGGCTGCATGAACTGCGGCGCTTACTGCACTGACTGTCGCGCGAACTCCAACTGACTGCCCCCTGCTGCGCCTGCGCCGTCCCTTTTATAGGCAGCGGCGGGGTCCCGTTATTTCCCTTTTTGCACACGGCTCGCTCGGGTCCAATGTCCAAGTGTGTCCCGTTAGTTCCCTTTGCACACGGCACGCATCGGGTCCAAGGTCCAAGATGTCCCGTTAGTTCACGCCTGCCGCATTCTCGCTGCCTTCGCTGTTGCTAGGGGCTCTCCTGCCTCGAGATTTGTGGGGAGTTTTACGACTCCTCACAGTAGCTTTTCATTTTTAGAATTTGTATGTTTTATTTTTAGCTCAAGCTGATGATACAAGGTGCATAAACAATATAATTTCAGATGAGATCATTTTGTCCTACAGACCAGAAGGAAGTTATTTTTTCACTTCTAAGTAAGTTTTTATCGTTCTTGTCTAATATTCTAATATTATATAATATTATAAAAATATATATTTTCCAAATTCAAATCCCATTGTTCAGGTGAAGCCTGCAGAGCCTACGGAGAGGATGCGGAGATGTGTAAAAAATATCCATGCGCGAAAACGGAGCTCACCAAGACTCCGGAAGCCATGCCAAACGTACCGAAGACCCTACAAGTCACCGTAGTTGGTAATAATCTATTAATTTAATGTAAAAGTATGAAAATAATTTACCAAAAACGATGAAGTAAAATGAAGTGAAAAGAAATAAACCGTTTGATAAAGGCGATGAAATTCAATATATTTTTTATTTTTCTCTTTCTTTGCTGATGATTTTGGGTAATATTTCGGCGCTAAAATAGCGTCAAAAAGGCGCTATTTTGGTGATGAACAGGTGCTAAGAAAGCGCTAGTTTCTGGCAGTCATGAGCCCCTAGGACATGCCCATGTTAAAATCAGCACTATTTTTCATACAAATTCACTACTGATTGAGCGCTTAGTGGTCAAGTTTTAGCAGTGATTCACTGCTAACCCACCCATTTTTTCTATTCTAGGTCACAGGACGCCTTCGGACATATCTCGGGTTTTTGGACAGTTAATCCAAAGCCTCAGCGCTCCCACCCAACCGTAGCAGCCGTAGATGTTCCCGACTGCCCCTTAGACCGGTCACGGCAGGAAATTTATACGACAGTCTACATGTTCCCTCCCCCTCTAAAAAATAAGTTACTCCATATCCATATTTATGACAATTTGTTCACTAATTATATTTACAGAGTCGCTTCCGCTTCCCTTAAGGGAACCCATTAACCACCGTCCGCCAGACGCAATAGTCCCACACTGGGATTCGTATTATTTAGTGGAGGTCTGCTTTCCTTTCGGTTCCTACCTAAAAGAGCTCTCTTAGTGGATCCCAGACTTCAATGACCAGCAATCTACTCGACGCAAACACTGGATTGGCTTCCCCGGGGGATTGACAAGGATTCCGCAGTACAATTGCGGTTGTGTTTCGGTTTTCCTTTCTTTTTGTTTAGTGACAATGGGTAATTTAACCCAAGACTCGCCCAGAAGGAGCACACGTGATTAAAAATATGGATACAAGTGTAACAAGAACTTGCAGTGAAACATTCAACTACGCCAGTAAATATGTTCATTTAAATAAGTTTGGCAATAAATAAATAAGTAAATATATAAAGATATATTTTCACCGGGTCCTGACAAAATACCAAGTTGTATACTGAGGAATTGTTCGTCCTATCTAGCTTTTCCCTTAACATTAATATTTAATTTGTCGCTAAGTCAAGGAAGATTTCCATCCATATGGAAGGAATCGTTTATTGTTCCATTGTTTAAAAAAGGGAACAAGTCTGTTGCCGCCATAATTTAAGTTTAATTTTTATTTCAATTTGTTATATATAAGCACTCGATATACACCCCGAGGTATCGATATAATATGATATGGTATCGATATGGACCTCATTTTCACGCTCGCGAGAACCATCGCTAGAAAGGGCAGAAGCGAAATAAGAGAAGAAAGAAGACAAAGTTTTTAAGCGTGCTCCGCAACGCAATTTTGTATTACACATTGATTCGGAAGCTGAAATTTAAATAAAGTTAATTTTAAACACATAGTTTATTGCTATCCGCCTGTGTTTCGAATAAGTTGTGTGGGCTGCTGTAAAACCAATTCAGTTTCGCTCTCAACATTCTTAAAAAATTTTGTGTAAAAGAAAAAAAACTTTGCATAAAGAATGCGCAATTAGCCATAACATTGCCACATACCGAAAAACTTTATTCTTAAAGGCTTGTGCGACGAATTTCCAATTAGCCATAACATTGTGAAATTCCTAAAAACGCGTGGTTGCCGTTATAACAGTACAATTACGAAGCGACGCATTTGCAATTAGCCATAACATTGTGAAATTGCGATCGCATCCCTTTCTTGAACGAAAGGTGAGAGAAAACGTAATACGTAAACGGAGCCAACAAACCGCAGAAATTACGCACACAACTACAATTCCGCCACACGCCGAGTTCACATAACCGTACAAAAGTGAACAGAGATGAGCGAAGAGGTGTGCAGAATATGCAAGAAAAAAGCGACAGGAACTGAGCAAAGCTGGGTCCAATGCGACAGTTGTGACAGTTGGTACCACTTTCGCTGCGCAGGTGTCGGCGAAGACGTTGAGAATAGCGACTGGAATTGCGATTTGTGCCTTGCTGGAGGCAGCGACGGAATCCCACTTGGAAGGACACTGCGATCACCGCTCCCAAATCAGTTCGACAACTCCATCTTATTATCCGTAAACCAGAATAAGATTGAGCAGCAAGTGAACTCGCTCGTCGATATGGATAGTCCGGCGAAGTACAGATTACCCCCGACAACAACTCTAACGTCAACAAAAACCAGCTAATGCTTGACATGTTAGAAGAAAAAAGAGCTTCCGAACAGAGATTTATAGAGGAGAAGTATAAAATTTTATTGCAAATGAACGTACTAGGCGGATCGACAGCCGGGCTATTTCAGGCGACCCCCGCATCACCCTCCTCTTCCCAAATCGCCGCAAGACAAGCTATACCCAAGGAGCTTCCTTCGTTCAGCGGGGATCCTGAGGAGTGGCCGATGTTCATCAGTACATTCGAGCACAGCACTTCCGCAGCAGGATTCTCCAACGTTGAAAACATGCTCCGTCTACAAAAGTGCCTAAAAGGCAGGGCACGCGAAATGGTAAAGGATAAGCTTCTACTTCCTAGCCTAGTTCCGGAAGTAATGAGCACGCTGAAAATGTTCTTCGGCAGACCTGAGCACATTCTGGAGAGGATGATCGACAAGGTGAGGAAGCTACCGCCGCCCAAAGAAAAATTGGAATCCATAATAGAGTACGCGCTCGCAGTGCGCAACATCTGCGCCACGATCGAAGCATGCAGCCTAGAAGCGCATTTAAACAACCCAATGTTAGTCAAGGAGCTTGTAGACAAACTTCCAAGTAACCACAAATTAAATTGGGCGTTGCACTCCCGCGACGAATCAGTCCCTCCCATTAAGGCCTTCAGCGACTGGCTTTACAAAATAGCGCAGGCGGCATCGACTGTCGTGACACCGTTTTCTCACAAGACTAGTTCTGTGAATACAATAGTTGCGCAGCCAGTTCGAGCCAGGGATCTGCAGTCCAGCAACAGCCTACTCCAAAGTGCATCGCATGCGAATCTACAAATCATTGGGTAACACAATGCGAACAATTTAAATCCAGCGCCGTAGAGCAGAGATGGCAACTCGCTAAAGCCGGAAAGGCATGCTTTCGATGCTTGAAGCTTCATCGAAACAATTGTCGACCAAAGGATTGCGGAGTAAACGGTTGTACCAGAAAGCATCACCCTCTACTCCACTCGGAAAATGTTCCCAATACAGCCAACGAAACGGGAAATCAAAGGCATGTAAGCACACACCAAGGCGATGTAGAAGGAAACCAGTTCTTCCGAAGCGTACCCGTAACATTACATTATGCTGATCAAAAAATGGAGATCTTCGCTTTTTTGGACGAAGGATCATCTGTTACCCTAATAGACAAATCAATTTTTGACAAGCTCGGTATAAAAGGTTCACCGTCACCGATTTGTTTGCAGTGGACTGGAGAAACAACCCGGTTCGAAAATACTTCCGTGCGAGCATCAATCCAAATCTCAGGCGTAAGCTCAGAAAAACGTTACTGGCTCAACAACGTTCAGACTGTCCAAAACATTGCACTGCCAAAGCAAACCGTCGATATGGATGAGTTGCGCAGTAAGTACAGCTATCTAAAGGACCTGCCATTAGAGACCTACTCCACGCAGCCAATATTATTAATTGGAACAAACAACTGGAAAATAGCCGTTCCTCGCAGGATCCGCGAAGGCAACTGGAACGACCCAACAGCGTCAAAGTGCATCTTGGGGTGGACCATCCAGGGATCGGCAAACTCAAACCGTCACGTATCTATGCACCACTGCGATTGGCAAGAGCTTCATGATGAAGTGAAAGAGCAATTCAACCTCGAGTTAACTCCGCCTAAAAAACTCCTTTCAAGCGAGGACAAGCGAGCAGTCGAAATCCTAGAGCAGACTTGTCAGCACAAATGTGGAAAATATGAAGTTGGACTTCTTTGGCGAAATGATCTTCAAAAACTTCCCGAAAGTCGCATTACCGCTCTAAAGCGCCTACAATGCATGAGAAACAGAATTCTGAGCGAACCGGACACGTTTACGAAAATCGACGACCAAATCAAAAATCTTCTTACAAAAGGATACGCCAAGCAACTGTCCGACGAGGAGGCGGAGAAAGAAGAAACTCGCACCTGGTACTTACCCATCTTTATAGCCTTAAATCCGAATAAGCCAGGAAAAATTAGGCTAGTCTGGGACGCGGCAGGAAAAACAAATGGAATATGCCTCAACGACCTTCTGTTAAGCGGACCGGACTGCTTAAACCCACTCATCGACGTTCTTCTAGCCTTCAGAGTCGGAAAAGTCGCCGTAAGCGGCGACATCGCCGAAATGTTCCACAGGATCAACATTCGCCATGAGGACATGCATTCCCAGCGCTTTCTTTGGTACGACGCCAACCGAAACAAGATAAACACTTACGTCATGCGTGCCATGACCTTTGGTATTAGTTGCGCGCCATTCATAGCCCACTACGTGCGCGACAAAAATGCTGAAGTCCACCAGCAGCAATTCCCTTTAGCCCTGGATGCGATTCAGCGTGCGCACTACGTCGACGACTTCATCGACAGTATGAGTGATGAACAGAAAGCCATCGAAATATCCAGCCAAGTAAGAGAGGTCCACGACAGAGGCGGATTCGAAATCCGAAACTGGGCGTCAAATTCGAGTACAGTTCTCTCGTATCTTATGAACGATGGAGACGCCAAAAATCAGGAGCCAGTGCAGTTCGGCGCTACAGAAAAAGTTCTGGGTATGTACTGGGACCCACATAACGATGTTTTTAAGTTTGTTTGCAGATTCACAAGACTTAAGCGAGATGTCCTTACCGACCCTGCAGTTCCAACGAAAAGAGAAGTCCTTCAGGTTCTCATGTCGATCTTCGACCCCTTGGGCCTACTGTCATGCCATACGATCGGATTAAAAATTCTTCTGCAGAAAATCTGGCGTGCAAATATCAGCTGGGACCAAGAGCTGCCAGAATCACTGTTGGATGACTGGAACCAATGGAAGCTGTTACTGCCTCAAGGGGCAACAATTAACATTCCGAGATGCTACTCCCCAAAGATGTCTGAAGAGACCCGAATCGAACTGCACACGTTCGTGGACGCTAGCGAGCATGCTTATTCCGCTGCTTGCTACCTGCGAGTATCACAAAAAGACGAGGTGGACGTAATACTTGTGGCCGCGAAAAGCAAAGTGGCGCCACTAAAACCACTATCTATTCCGCGCATGGAGCTCCAAGCCGCCGTGATGGGCTCACGCTTAGCCAACAAAATCATCAACGTACGTAATCTTCGAGTCGACGATCTTACGTTCTGGTCGGATTCACGAACTGTTTTACAATGGCTGGTGATGGATCCTCGCAACTTTCAACAATTTGTGATGCACAGAATCGGCGAAATCCTGGAGACCACCCGAGCGGATCAATGACGATGGGTCCCATCAAAACTCAACGTTGCAGACGCCGCAACTAAAGTTATCAAAAAACCTTGTGTGGACACATGGCTTTACGGACCCGAGTTTTTGAAAAGCAAACCCTGCAAATGGCCAACAATTCCATCACGGGCAACGGAGATCGATACGACCGAACTACGCAGACACATCTTTACAACTCGTAATGCAAATAAAGTCTTACTCGACGTGGATTATTTCTCCGATTGGCGGCGCCTTTACAGAGCCGTCGCGATGTTTCTATATATCCAGCGACTACAGGCAAAGTGTCAAAGGACCTACATGCCGACAGCAGTGACCGAGTTTCACGTCAAAAAAGCACAGACCCTTCTATACAAAGAAGCACAGAGGCTCGAGTTCGCGGAAGAAATCAATTCATTGAAGTGCACAAAACCAATAGGCGCAAAAAGCAGATTGACTGGCTTGAACGCATATCTGGACGACAACGGAATCCTGCGCACTAAAGGTCGAGTGAACGCAGTCGGATATACTATGGACCCGATAATATTGCCCCCAGAGAGTCGAGTAACATTTTTATTGGTCCGGTTCTATCACGAAAAATATCATCACCTCGCTCACGAAACCGTGATAAACGATATAAAATCCAACTTTTATATTCTGCGCCTAAGAGTACTGCACAAATCCATAAGAAAAGCCTGCCAATTATGTAAAAATCGTAGCGCTATGCCACAGCCTCCACAAATGGCCGCTGTTCCAAAGGCTAGGTTGACATGCTATGAAAAACCGTTCACGTGCACCGGCGTTGATTATTTTGGCCCTATCCTAGTCAACGTCGGAAGACGCAAAGAGAAGACCCTTTATCAAATAGGGCAAAAATGCGAGTTCGCGAGGAAAAGACATGAAACCAAATACTACAAATACTACAACTAAGATTGAAGCAAATGAGATAAAATTTTAGTTTTTAATACGGGGATAGATGTTGAAGTGCAAATTAAATGATAAAGATTGTTATAATTTGTACATAGAACACGAAAAGGCTCATGCAGAGTAAAATTTGATGTACATCGAGGCAAATTAAGAGGGTAATAATTTCGTGTTAGTCTAACGGGAACAATAAAAGTTAAACGGTTTACCAGTTCTACGGAATCAATATCACCTCTTATAAGATTTTGCATAAAAATAGTACCAAGCATTATTCTACGGTTTTCAAGTGTAGGTAAATTACGCAATAGTAATCTACTCTGGTAGGAAGGTAGCCTTACGTTTTGATCCCAGTTCAAACTACGAAGGGCAAAAAGAAGAAATTTTTTTTGCACCGACTCAATACGGTCGATGTGCACTTGATATTGTGGACTCCAAACTGAAGAACAATATTCCAAAATGGGACGGACAAGGGAGGTAAATAATAATCTGGTTGTATAAGGGTCATCAAATTCCTTTGACCAACGCTTTATAAACCCAAAAACACTCATAGCTTTATTGACAGTGGCCATTATGTGGCAATCAAATTTAAGTTTTGGGTCGAGAAGAACACCTAAATCGTTAATTGAATATATACGGTCGAGTGGTGCATTTTTAAGAGAATAACTAACAAACGTAGGAGTGCCCCTATAAAAAGTCATAACGTTGCATTTAAGGCAGTTCAGATTTAAAAGGTTGTACTCACACCATCCCTGAAAACAATCAATATCTGACTGTAAGTTGAAACCGGACCCTACATCTTTATATGATAGACAAAGCTTAACATCGTCAGCGTACATTAGTACACGAGAATGAGCTACGATAGAGGGAAGATCGTTAATAAACAAAGTAAACAGCAAAGGGCCTAAATGACTACCTTGAGGAACTCCAGATGTCACGTTGATCATTTTAGAAACAGCGCTCTTAAATATAACCCTCTGAGTCCTACCATTCAAGTAACTTGAAATCCAAGTTAATAGATTACATGGGAACCCAAGCTGATCTAATTTGAATAAAAGGAGAGAGTGGTTAACAGAGTCAAAGGCCTTACTAAAATCTGTATATATAACGTCAGTCTGCATGTTATCCTTATATCCATTTATTACAATAGATGATAGGTCAAGAAGGTTGGTGGTGGTCGATCTTCCATTAACAAAACCATGCTGACACGGTGATATTAGCGAGGAACATAAATGCTGCAAATGAGAAGTAATAATACATTCAAATGCTTTAGGAATTGCCGACAATTTAGAAATGCCTCTATAATTCTGGGCATCCGCCTTCGCACCCTTTTTGTGGAGTGGAATAATGAAAGAGTCCTTCCAGATAGTTGAAAAAACTGATGATGAAATAGACAAATGAAAAAGTTTAAGAATCGGTTTACAAATGGTTGAAGCACAAAACTTAAGCACACTCCCAGGGAGTCCATCAGGACCGGGAGAATACGTTGGCGTTGTTGTTGCTAAATCCTTTAAAAGAGAACTTTCGGTAATTACAGGAGTAAAAATACAATTAGCCCTATTTAAGTGGTTAGGGTGGGTAGGGTTTGACCAAGCAGCCGAACTATAAGTAGTTTGGAAAAACTCGGCAAATAAATCCGCAATTTCAGAATCCGACGATGCCTCTTTTGAGTTTAAACGTACCAATGAAGGCAATGCCGAAGACTTACGCTTGGCATTAACGAAGTTATAAAACTGCTTCGGATCATTTGAAAACTCGAATTTACATCGATTTAAATACATGGAATAGCAATGACTGTTGAGAACATTAAAATCTGAACGAGCCACAACATATTTCGCAAAATCAGATGGCTTTCCCGTTTTTTTATACTTTTTATAAGTGTTGGATTTAAGATTTTTAAGTCTTTGAAGCTCATTGTTAAACCAAGGAGGCCTGTTTAGCTTCGGAGGAAGACTGTCAGGCACGCATTCGTCAAAAAAAGTGTTTAAAACGCTATAGAAAAGTTCAATTGCACTGTCAATATCCATGCAATTGTACAAATCAGTCCAATTATATTGAGAAATCATGTAGTTTAGTTTATTATAGTCACATTTACGAAAGCATCTCCTTTTAGTTTGAGGAACTAAAGGAGAAAGGGTATCAGTACAGGGGAGGCCAATTGTCAATTCCAAAGTTGGATGATATTGGTCTTCAGGTACAACAAGTGCGTCAATTCTAGATACAGTGACTTCATGCGGATCTAAAACAAAGACAAGATCTAATTGTCTATTTAATGAATTTCGTATAAAGCTTACTTGCTGTAACGATAATTCTAAAAGGCCATCCACAAAATCATGGGCGGATAAAGGAATAGCGACAAGTGAGTCAGTGGGAAGAGACCAAGAGATATTTGGGAGATTAAAGTCACCCAAAACAATCAAAAGGTCTCTGTTGGATAGAAAGGATAGAACAGATTTAATAGCAGACAGATGGTGCTCATAAATTATTAAATCAGAGCCAGGAGGAATATAAGAGCAGGTTACAAAAATAGATAAGGATTGAATGGAAACTTTGACACTAACAAATTCAATATCGTTAGGGATATGAATGTTAAGCCTCTCCGATGTTAAACTAGAGGTAACGGCAATCAGTACACCACCCCCCTACGTGGGGAGCGATCGGTCCTGTAGGTGTTAAAGTTCATTGACAAAACTTCAGAGTCAGATATCTCTGGTTTCAGCCAAGTTTCCGTAAAAGCCAAAATATCTTCAGTAAATGCAGAGGAGTCAGCATAAAGCTTTGGTAGCTTCATATTTAGTCCTCTAACATTTTGATAAGCCAAAAATAAACCTGTTAGTTTTTTGGCACAGTGGAAGGCCTATTATTAGGCACAGTGGAAAGCCGATTATTAGGCACAGTGGGAGGCCTGTTATTTGTTCTCGGTTTATTGGGAACAAATTCTTTTATTACCAAATCATCATTAAGCCAAAAGCTTTCAGAAAGTAGTACATTAAACACATCAGGCGGAGCAAATATTTTAAAAGAAGATATCCTACGGGCGTACGAAAATCGAAATTGTTCAACTTCAATGTCCTCGGATGGGAATTTTTCACGTATGAATTCCATAACATCCTCAGATTTGGTATCCGGGGTAAATCTAGAAACAAACAATTGCTTCCTATGTGGAACAACTGAAAGTTTCTTACGCCCCCCATTTCATGGCACTTCGTGGGACACCAAGAGAAATTTACTCAGATAATGGCACGAATTTCAAGGCCACGGAAAAGACATTGCGAGAGGAGCTGATCAAGATCGACTTTGATAAAATTGCAATCAAGTTCGACGGTATTAAATGGCTCTTTAACCCTCCAGGAGCCCCCATATGGGCGGCGCTTGGGAAAGATTAGTCCGCACTACCAAAACAGTCCTAAAAAGCATCTGCCCGAATTACTCACTCAACGACGAAAGCCTGAGGTATGCTCTGATGGAAGCACAGTTCATCATTAACTCGCGCCCGTTAACTTTCGTCAGCGTGGACTCCGAGGACGACTCTGCGCTGACTCCAAACCACCTGCTGATGGGTTCATCAAACGGGTACAAGCCGATCAGGGAAGAGAACATGAATTTAAGACGTCATTGGAACGAGGTAAAACTCTTTGGAGATCGCTTTTGGCAACGCTGGGTGAGGGAGTTTACACCGGTGCTTACTAGACGCACTAAGTGGTTCGAAAAGTGTCCCTCTTTATCAGTTGGAAGCATAGTAATGATCGTCGACGAAAACTTGCCTAGGAATTTATGGCTTAAAGGACGAGTGACCAACACTGTTACCGCCAAGGACGGACAAGTTCGCCGAGCCACTATTAAAACGCAGTATGGAGTTCTCGATCGACCAGCTACCAAGATTGCGGTTCTAGATGTCGGCTTAGAAGATGGTAACTGACCACCCTAGGGTCAATTACAGGAGGGGGAATGTTGCCGCCATAATTTAAGTTTATTTTTATTTAAATTTGTTATATATAAGCACTCGATATACACCCCGAGGTATCGATATAATATGAAATGGTATCGATATGGACCTCATTTTCACGCTCGCGAGAACCATCGCTAGAAAGGGCAGA